GACCTTTAAGATCCTTGAGTCCAGCCATGAACCTAACACCACCAATTACACCTCCAAGCCATGTCCCTAAGCACCTTCTCTACCCATCTTTTAAATACCACCAGGGAAGGTGACTACACCACCTCCCTGGGCAGCCTCTTCCAATGTTTGACCACCTTTTTGGTGAAGAAGTTTTTCCTTATGTCCAATCTAAACCTCCCCTGGTGCAATTTAAGGCCATTTCCTCTCGTTCTGTCACTTGTTACTTGGGAGAAGAGACCGACACCCACCTCTCTCCAGTCTCCTTTCAGGTAGCTGTAGAGAGGAATAAGATCTCCCCTCAGCTTCCTTTTCTCCAGGCTAAACAATCCCAGCTCTGTCAGCTGCTCCCCGCTCCTCGTAAGACTTGTTCTCCAGACCCTTCACCAGCTGTGTTGCCCTTCTCTGGACCTGCCCCAGCACCTCAACATCTTTCCTGTAGTGAGGGGCCCAAAACTGGACACAGTACTCGAGATGCAGCCTCACCAGTGCTGAGTACAGGGGCACAATCACTTCCCTACTCCTGCTGGCCACACTGTTTCTGATACAGGCCAGGGAGAACTCTTGGGAGAACTCAGGAGAGCATTGATCCTAGGGACTGGTTTCTCAGCTAAAGAAGAAAATGGACAATTACAGCAGAGAACTGCAGTCAGAGGTACACAGGATAAAATGGAGTTTCTTCCGTGTTAATTCTTTCCTGTGCCTGTTTTTCCCTCACTTTTAGAGAGGAAATAACAATATTATAAGCACCATAATCAAAGGTCCTGTTCAAATGCCCCCATCAAAATCCTCCATATAAAGGTAATTTAAAAGTCTCTTTTTCACTGAAACAGTAACTCTCAACAAGTCTTGGAAATACAATAAAGCTTCTTGAGCTCCTTTGACATGGAAGCCAGCTGCAGAGAGAGCTCTGCTGGGAGGAAGGTGTGAGCAACGTGTTAGGGTTTTGTCATGGAAAACCAGTTACTTGCAGTCATGGATGTGCAGCAGGGTTTAGCGAGCGAGATCCAGAGAGTACAGATACTTTACTGCTTATGTTATTTTCATTGTGCCTCCTCTGCTATTGAATACTTTCCTGGTATCAAGGACATCAAATCAAATGGCCAAAGGCCAGCGATGACTTCAGTTATTTACAGGACTGGGATCCCACAGAACAAACTCCTCCAAATAATACTAATCTAAGATGAAAGCTCTATTTGTAAGAGGGATTCAGTTGGATATTTTCAAGCATTCATTATAACTGATCCAAAACATCTGGGAAGCTTCCTGCCAAGGCCACTAAGCTCAACGCAGCTATGACTAAACAAAAGTAACTAAAAAAAGCTCCTTTCAAATGGTGAGAAGCAGGCAAATAAGTACTGGGGTGCATAAGTGCCAATAAATAAGCACCACCAGGTAAGGTCACATTGCAACTCCCGATCCCAGAGCAGATCTCCACCCCGGGTAGCTTCCGGGCAGTCTGGCTTTCAGGAATCTCCCTCCAAGGCTGGCAGAACAAAAATCACAGGGCACAGCTGGCTGTCCTCAGCGGCTTCTTAAACAGAACAGACGAGATTCCGGGGAGTGGGAAGCGTTGTCACAAGCAGCACAGGAAACAGAGCAATGCCTGGAGGAATTAAGTTTGGGAATCGCCAGGTTATAACACCCCCTTGGCTACAAAATGTGCCAGGCTGCCACACAACTTGCTTTAGAAGCTTATAAACAGCTACATTTTTTTCTGGCTGCCAGAAGGACATAAATATTTTAGAACATTGCTGGAAAAGAGCAAAACGAATGTGAAACAACCCTAAGTCATTAACCTATAAATAGTCATTTGATTTTTTTGGAAGGATATATATAACTGCACAAACAAAATCACCACTTTCCAGAACCTGCTTTGAGATTTGGGCCCTCGGACAGCATTTGTACACATCTCTGTGAAACCCACTAAGGACAGCATCACGGGGGAGAGGGCAGAGGAGGGAGAGGTTTTACAGCTCTAGAAGCCCCCTTAAAAGCCACAGCAACATCTCTGGCAGCCTGAGCCTCTTAAAATCAGGCAGGACTGATCAGGAGCTGGAGCTAGGTGGCTAACAGCTTTTATAATGAATAAACTAATTTTATAATGATTTCACTGAGTGCTGCCAATCCGAGTCATGGATCGAGAACACTCACCATACCACTGTGGGTTGCAATGCCACTGATACTAAGAAATTAAGTATTTCCAGATTTTCTTCACCTTTTGATGCCAGCAAAGGAGCATATTAGGAAAAAAGCCTTCAGCTATGGGAATGGCTAAAAAATCTCCAGATTTGTACAAGACACTGATTTTCATCCGATGAAGTGGTAGAACAAAGCGTTCTGTTAAAACACACTCCATTTCCTTGCCACATAGAAATAATTCCAGGTAGATTTTAAATACAAAATATTTGAAGTTTTGCAACTTGGAAAAATCCCACATACTGTTGTTTTGGGGTTTTTTTTAAAAAAAACCCAAAACAGGTTACTGTAAAGTTAATATTCAAGAAAAACTACCAGACACCAAATTTTCCTGAAAGAATCAGTGATCAAAGTAAAACCACCATGAAGAGTTCACTGAATTGCATTAATTCTCTATTCTGTATTCAATCTTCCAGCCGCGAGTTCAGCAAACACTTCAGTTTAACCTGATCGGCGTCAATTCAACCACACTAATACTTACCGAAAATGATGGTTTTTTCATCTTCAAAAAATGACTAGCAAAACACTTTCCCTTTGTTCTGTTACAATGACTCAAACAAGCAGAGACATTCAAGCCAGCACTGTTGAGATTTGCGAGCCTGGAGAGCAACAGCCAGGTATTTTGTCAATGACCACAAAATTTACTTCCATCTTGCACTGCCAGGTTTGGCAAGACAGGAAACTTCTGGTTGATAATATCTCAGACATTTGGGTCTTTAAGTGTCTCTGCCAGTAAACCCTCCTGACATCAGGATTAGGGCATGAATAAGACAAAAAACTATCAATGAAAAATGTCAAATTTGAGTGTAAGTTCAGGCAGCAAACATAACCCATCCCACTTCCAGAGGTGCTGAGCAGCCCTAGCACCACAGTGCCATAACATGACACCTGAGAAAAATATTTCACATTAAAATTTGATGTAAACTATGTGCAGATGAGCAAGTGCCTGTTCTGAAGACTGATGGACTTTGTGAACATGACCTAGTTTGGCTCAGGTGGAAAGGAAGCAGACGTGTGCAGGAGCAACTTGGTATCCTGAAGTCTAATGCAAATTACAAACGCAACGCTTCCTCGGCTTCCTTGCTGCCCCAGGGACAACTTCTTTGGGGTGTGAATGAAGACATCATTTTAGTTGCTGGCTGTGAGTGCCCACACTGGTTCACCTCTTTTTAAAACACTGAGTTGCTCCTCATGTAGAATTTTCAGGGCACTCTGGCTTTGCACTGCTCAGTGACCTGAAGAGGAAACACATCTGCCTCCATAGAAAAACATCTCCTTTAAGGACACAGAAGTCTAAACATGTAAAACTTGAGGAACTTGTTTCTAAACATTAATTATCTACCTAGATAATTCTAGAGATTTAATTATCCATTAGTCATACAGTATCCCAAATCAGAATCCTCCCTTCAGAAACAGACACAACATTTGCTTCAAGTCTACTAGCATTTCTTTGTAAGTCTTGAACCAGAGACCAGCTCTGAAGAGAAGGACTTGGGAGTGGTGGTGAATGAGAAGCTGAACATGAGCTGCCAATGTGCGCTTGCAGCCCAGAGGCCAATAACCGTATCCTGGGCTGCATCAAGAGAAGCGTGTCCAGCAGGTCGAGGGAGGTGATTCTGCCCCTCTACTCTGCTCTCGTAAGGCCCCACCTGGAGTACTGTGTCCAGTTCTGGAGCCCCCATCACAAGAGAGACCTGAAGCAGCTAGAACAAGTCCAGAGGAGGCCACCAGGATGATCCGAGGCTGGAACACCTCTCCTATGAGGACAGGCTGAGAGAGTTGGGGCTGTTCAGCCTGGAAAAGAGAAGGCTCCGGGGAGATCTTATAGCGGCCTTCCAGTACCTGAAGGGGGCCTACAAGAAAGCTGGGGAGGGACTTTTCATAAGGGCAGTTAATGACAGAACAAGGGGAAATGGGTTTAAGCTGAAAGAGGGGAGGTTTAGATTAGATATTAGGAAGAAGTTCTTCACTGTGAGGGTGATCAGACACTGGAACAGGTTGCCCAAGGAAGTTGTGGATGCCCCCTCCCTGGAAGTGTTCAAGGCCAGGCTGGATGAGGCTTTGAGCAACCTGGTCTAGTGGAAGGTGTCCCTGCTGATGGCAGGGAGGTTGGAACTAGATGATCTTTAAGGTCCCTTCCAACCAAGACCATTCTATGATTCTATAACCCAGAGCTAACTGATGGGACATTTTAGAAATGGCAATGGGATCCTAAACATCAAGCATATAGTGGAAACACTCTCCCATAAATTCCATGACTTCTCATTTTAAAATGCTGATTTGTTAGAAACTAAACACTATAAATCCAGTCACAATCTTAGAGGTACTTCTGTGTTAGAAGATCTTGCCTATTAAATTTGGGTTGATTGCATCCAATCTGCTTGCAAATGATGCTTACTTTTGTAAACAGATTTGTGTCAGTCTTTAAATAAAAGCATCACGGCTAACAGCTTGTTAAACTGAATGAGATCACTAGGTTGGCTTCCAAAGTCAAAGAAAACTAAAACAAAAGAATGAAAATGAAGCATTCTAGAACAATTTTTATTTGTGTTTATAGAAAAACACCTTCTTTAAACAATTGTTAAGAGGTCAATTCATTTAAAAAAGATAGTTTGAAATTAGCAATGTTGAAAGGCAAACAAGCACATAAAAATCACTTTCATTGGACTAGCCTGAGAAAACTCATTTCTTATAAAAGAAATTACCTTCTACAGACTGTATCATCTAAAAGAATACAAGAATCAGGAAGAAAGTGTAAAGACCACTCAAAACAACACCAAACATTCTAATGCATATGTACTAGATATATTATCTATTAAATAGCTTAATATTTCAATGTTCAAATTACAAGTTTCTAATAAAATAGCAAACTTCACCAGGTCTGATTCTATAGCTTGCAGAGACAGGTGCTGCTACAGTTAACACAGAAATGCAAACATTTCTTGAAAACCTAAGGCTAAAACAGGCACCTGCTACGGAAGTGACAATTTCAGCTTTTGTCAGAAGAATCCACCACATACAAAACAACTCCCCGTTGCAAACAAGTGTTATCAACCAAACAGCTTACAGAGGCAAAGAGGTGTTTGCAGAGCTTCATCTCGGCCCCCACTTGATGTCTTTTACACCATGAAATTGCCTTTTCAAAGCATGGTTGTCTGCCCACTCAGCATTTAGAAATGAGTCATCGTCATCCTCTTCTAGTTTCTGTAAACAGAACGGACAGGTTAAGAAGGCTTTCCTGAATGTAACCTGCCCTTGGTGTCTGCACCACCACAGCTCACATACAGTAAAAAGACACTGTTACCTTCAGTTCCTCCTGCTTTCTGTAGTAATACAGCATCATCTGTTTTTGCTCTTCATGACTAATTAGAGGTTCACGCCCTGGAGCTCCTTGTCCTTTCTGAAAGGGAAATTGTAAATTTTATTTATGATGGCATTTGTGATACAAAAGAGAAGCTGCTATGCAAAGATAGCAAAATTTTTCTTCAGACAACAGGATTTCTCAAATTTAATAAGGTCCCTTAGGACAGGAAAATAAATGTTGAGAAACTTCTGCTGTGTTCAAGTCAGAATTATTTTTCATCTCAGCATCTGAATCATGCTGTCAATTTTGCGGACATCAATAGGAGCTGCAAACAGGACTGAGTCTATTGTACTTAAGCTTCCACTCTAAAAGACATAACAAATCTCTCTACTTTATGGCCGTTCTAGATCTCTCAGGATGGGCCCATCCATCTTTAGCTCCCCTGCTAATACAGACTCAAGATGGCAAATGACTTAGTAAAGCAGGGAAGGAAGGCTGCTACAAAACACGACAAATAAAAGAAATTTTATTTGTTACTATAAATAAGAGAAAAAAAATTTTTCCAGGCAACTGTCCTCATGGAAGAAATTATGTGCAGGGCAGAATACAGTTGATGACAGCTACTGTCAACAGTAACAAACAGAACAGTTTGAATGGAGATGGTGAATCCTCTCTGGAACAAAAAGGGTCTAAGGTGGTTTAATTTAGCTCTCCAACCCAAGAACGCAGACATCCCTCTTCAGATAAAAAGTCACCGTACTACTTTGCATTCTGTGAAGTCCTTCAACTAATTAAACAGTAAGACAGCTTTCCTCAGAGCCTACATTTCAATGGCTGTTGAGTTGCCACACAATTTTCAGTCACCCTGATAGAAAAAAGAAAGCAATTCTGGTCTTCTAAATGATAAACACATAAATACTTGACTTATCTTTGAATAATTCTATTACAGACACTTGCAGATATAACCATTAATGCTTTCTGTGGCGGAGACATGGAAGTGAAATGCTGCTCCAGAATAATTCTAAGCTATAGGTACTCTGAGACATTTGACTTTCACAAAAGCACCCTCTGAATGTGATATAGAGAGAAACATACACACGTGAAGAGGGTGAGCATCTTCTGACAAAGCTCTGAAAATGAAGTGGTGAAACACCAAACATTCTTCCCTCGAGTATGACATTCTCACCAGAGATGAATACAACTGCACAGTTAGTACAAAATAATTGTGACCAAAAAATAATGAAGTGGCTTGGTGCTAATTCTGATATTGCAAGAACCTGACCATTCCATCAGACACCAGAACAATGACTGGCTTTTGCAGAAGCACCAGGTCTATAAACCGGGAAGCAGCAGGAGATCTTTGCCTCATTTTAGTTCATTACTCCAGAGGATGACTCATACCTGTGTTCACAATTAATACAGAAGACCTCACTTGCTTCACCACATCTGACAACTGGAAAGTCTCATTTCTTTTAAAAAAGTTCAGCTGGAAGCTTTAGGTGAGCTGCAGCTGACAGCGCAACCCTGTGGTAAAGGCCCAGCAGCTTGTTCTTCCTTCTGGCACCCAGCAAGTTCTCACTGAACACTTTGGGAGAGCATAAGTTCAGGCTCTTCCACAACCTGTGTCCTCTCAAAGAGGAGGCATGTCCACATTTCTGAGGCAACTGAGACAGTCATCAAAACTGCCATCAAAAACTCAGGACATCAAAGGCTGAAAACTACTGAGCTACAGACACTGTCTTTCACAGGACAGACTGAAACAGGGGTGAGAAGTTCCACACCACATATGCACAAAACATTAAAACTGTTTTTTAAAGGCCAGAATACGGCAAAAAGAACATTAATGAATACAATTAGAAAAACTGGGCAGACTGAATGACTGCCCAGTGCTCTGCTCAATGTTCAGTGCTCTGCACTGAAATGGAACTGAGAGTCAGTTGAGGTTTTTTAAACTTTTCAGTTTCTATTTAATCTATTTTTAAATATCTCTTTGCTGTACTTTAGAAAAGTGCTATGGAGCAAGTAATAGCTACTACAGTATAAACTGACAGGCAAAGGAATTACTAAAGAGAAACTCAGAATATGAAAAATTAAAACCTTAAAATAGATGTACAGCTTTAAGACACTCAAGCCAGAACTAATCTAACCCATTTAATACACCTACAGACAACTCTCTTCCACAGAGAATTAAACAGCTAAAGGTGAATAACTTGTAAAGAAATCTCCCAGCAGTACTTACTTTTTGTATCTTGACAATGATGGTTGTTTTCTCATTTTTGCCTACATAGTCAGAGAGCAACTTTGTTTCTTTCAACTCCTTTCCTGCCCACCATAACTGTGCTTCTGATTCTTCTATAACTTCAAGTCCAGCCTGTGACAAATACACAAACAAGGTGAAGTGTTGAGGCACATTGTTTCTTGCTTTTTTTTCAAAACCAGAAAAAATTTCTGGGAAAATTTTCTGGAATTCTTAAGAGAAAGGCTAATGTAATTCATCTGATTTTACACTATACTTCTGCTACATTTTTCTTTTTCTATTAATCTGCAGCATTTTCATTCATATTCCATTCAGTCTTGATCTAACATAAACACTTTGGGCGACAAAGCCTCAATACTGGCATTAGAAAGAATGATAAGCTATTTAAAGTGGGTCCAAGATTTACCTGAACTCAACTTTGTATGTAGTATTTGAAAAAAATCTTCATTCATCTTATTTCTAGTTAAGCTATTGCTATTCTTTTACATAATCAGACAAAAACATTAAACAAAATTTGTCATGCAAATGAAAAACAACCTTCATTGGCAAAATGGAGAACAGTATAGCACATATTTAACACAGGCACTACAAACAATCCAAATACATTACTGCATACCTGAGTTCCTGACAAGTCTTCTTTATCTTCAAACTCCATCCTAACTGGATCATGTGGAGGCAATCCCATTGGGTACACAATCATCACAGCCCCTCGGAGCTGGTCCAGTGCATCTTTCACCATCTCCATATTAACACACACATTGGCCTGAACTTGTTTCTGAAACAGAGGCCAGGATCACTGGTAATTTTAAAAACTATGCAGAAAGACTCTGCTTTGTAGTCAGTTTGAAGGTTCAACAGTGGGATAGTTGAGCAAAGCTAACTGGCTGCAAAAAGATAGTAGAAGTGCAAACTTTCTCAGTTGAATATCAGCTTCTAAATACATCGCTACACTTGAGCTCGCTTACACTGGGAGCGGGGGCAGGGAAGGAAGAGATCTTCACTAAATTGTGCAGAAGGCATTTAGTAACAAAAGTCTATGGGATATGGGAATTCAAACAAGTACACATGTGACCACAGAAACTGGATGGGGAGACTTTGGTTCCAAGTACTTGTGATTCATGAACAAGATTCAAAACAGTAGAATTCAAATGAATTCTAGACAAGGGGCCTAAAACTTGAGGAAAAAAATAAGAGCACATGTGAGCAGAAGAATAAAGCTTGGCATATTGCATGGCTTATGCAGAGATCTGCAAGATCAAATACTTGAGATCATTCCAAACCCTACTGCAATGGACAGAGGAAAAACAAAACGTATCTGGAAGAGAAGAAAAAGTTTTTTCTTATAGATTTAAGTTCCTATATTTTAAGTGACAAGGTTTATAAAAAAGAGAGCAAGATGATATTGCCTCCTTGTGGACATTCCTAAACTTGTTAACTGGCAAGTACAATTGGTTTCTCAATCTCAGATGACCGACATTTTTTAATACTCAAGCGTATTTCTTCATTTTCATCATTATAAAGTGATGAACCTATCAAATCACTCCACAAACCATCCTTAACTTAATCCACCAGTGAATGGCAGTAATTTCTGGACTAAGTCAGCATGCAGCGCAGCAATTCTGCAACTTTCTGCTACAAGTGACATGATACATAGTTTGAAATTTTGCCCAGGCAGGAATACCTGCAAAGTGGAGACCAGATCTGCAGATATTTTTGACTCAAGAAGTAAAACTACATATTATTAATTTTCTCCCTGGTTACAAACAGACTTGATGAGATGCAATCCAACAAAGAAGTCCATCTGGAGAAAATCCTTATAGTCCAGAAGCTTTAATCTGAAAGATCTCTCATTTTGCACAGATTCTGCTATGACTCAGAACAGTTTGGCTGAACGCCTGCCTCAATTCCAGAAAGGTTTGCTGCAACTCGGCGCACTGGAAGGGCTGCCAGGTGACAGGGCAGCTCCTCTGCTTGCCTCCACGAGGCCTTTGGAAACACTGAGCTGCTCACTCTAAATCACTGATAGGACACTGTTATCAGCAACAAAACTGCCAAGAAGGCCAATTTAAGTGCACAGGCAACACTAACAATTCAGTAAATTATCTATTTGCGTAACTGGTTTAAAGCTTTTTTAAAGTTCCATACATACCAATTCCAAGAATTGGAGGGGAGAAGAAAATTGCTTGCAGATGTTTACAAAAAAGCAAACTGATAATAAATATTACTTAATTTGTATTTCAAAGTAATATGAAAGCTGAGACACAATAAAGAACATCTACAGATTTGGTAAAGTGAAGCTGAATAAATGAGACCATAGTTCCATCAGGGCATACCCTAATGCTTATCTTTAAACACACAAACTCTTTGGGACTGAGCATGAGTCCAAGTGCTTGTAAAACCAAGGCCTAATCTAAGAGATTAGAACACATTTTTCAGTTAATTATACATAAAACTCAAAAGACTATGTTAACGAGCAAAAGGTATTTTATTCCACAAACATCACAGAAGGCAGTTAATTTTTCACCAGAAAACACGACAAGCATTCACCTAAAGAATGCTTCAATAGCAAATTAAGAGCATGTGGATAAAATTAAATGCGATTTAATCATTCAATGTAGTCTCGGTTGCCAGTATTCACTTGGAGTTTAATATCTGATTCCTTAACTTGTTGAACCAGCTTGCCAAAAGCCATTAAGAAAATCATTAACAGAAATGTCAGTTTTTATTAGACTATTCACATCACTTCATGATATTACTCAAACTGTTGGCCCTGCACTGAAAAAAGGCTGTTTTTTTCTTAAGCTGCCCAACTACGTAGCACCTATTAAGAAAGTCCCACATACCAGCTGCTACTTCAGGAAACTTACCCTAGAGATTAATGCCTTGGCTTCCTCTATTGTCTTCTTTATAACTTGCTGCATTTTTTCATTTGGAGCTACAATTAAGAGATACATATTTAATAGTCTACGCTTACTATAAAGAAACCAAGCAAACAACCTGTCCAGGTTACTCCCTGCCCAAGCAAATGAAACATTGTTAAATCACAAAGCAAGGCAGACACTACTAAGCTGCAGTCTGTTTGACAGTTCGTTGCCGTATTTCTTACTAACTTAAGAAACAAAGCAGTATTTCTCCTGGGAGAGCCAAACTTACTTTTCCACAAAGACACTGGACCTGTATTTGGAACTTCATTTGGGACAAAAGTACTGAGTAGAAAGCAACAACCATAATTTCACACTTGCCACAACCAAAATGAAGACTCTTT